TGAGGGAGGGGAGGAGAAAGAGAGGGAGGGAGGGAGGGGAGGAGAGGAGAAAGAGAGGGAGGGAGGGGAGGAGAGGAGAAAGAGAAAGGAAGAGAGGAAAGAGAGGGATGAGGCGAGGAAAGAGAGGGAGGGGAGGAGGGGAAAGAGAAAGGAAGAGAGGAGGGGAGTGAATAAGAATTTGGAGGTAGATAATTGCAGAGTTCGGGAAAGCGAATTAAAAAAGAAAGGAGAAATGTGACGAAAGACAAACCGGTGAGAAGCTGGAAGCACACGTGACAGCACACGTGACAGCACACGGCTCGTCCTGACTCCGCGTTCAGTCCATCACGTGTGCCGTGTTTGTGAAATATGTTTTGGCCTCAGTCTTGCTACAGAGCGGTATGTTGCAGTAATAACCGTCCTCACCGACACTGAACACAACAAAGAGAACCTGTCATAACAGGAGGCGTGGCGCTAGTCCACAGGACCAGATCGCCGGCCGATGTTGCTGCCGCAGCCAAATTGTGAAATATGAACGGAAGAATCTGATTGGTCACTCAGAGCAGTTATTAGCACACAGCCCCTGCCCCCCAGGAGCGCATTTCGGGTGTTTCCAGAGTGAGCGCTTGTTGCTGAAATTCGGCAGTTACACAAGGAAGGTTTTAGCGACGGCGGTCACCGGAGATCTTACCTCTGTCAGAGCGTGCAGCTGGCCCTGGTGAACGCAGACTCCCTTGAACCTATCAGAGGAGAGACAAGAGATCAATCATCATATAATCTTATAAAGTGCTGAGCAAACTGCGGGCGTTATATAAATCCTGATAAATAATAATAACAATAAAGATAATAATCCAGACACGGAGCGTGCGCCAACAACACGAGGCAGAGACGCAACAAGATGTGAACATTGTATACAGGAGATACTACAAGAGCCTGCACAGAGAATTCTTCCCTTAGACCTCAAGTTCAATCTGCTTATACTTTACCTTCTCTGGTCTGCCCCTCCCCCCTCATTAATATGCTAATGAGAGCGAGAGAGAGAGAGAGAGAGAGAGAGAGAGAAAAAAAAACCTTTCCGTTTTCATCACAGACCTCATTTTAGACCCCATGATGTCATCACTGGGTCTCTGTACTTCTCCGTGGGCGGGCGCTTGGGAGGAGTTATGCAAATATCAGAATGCCTTATGGGTGAATGTCAAGTCTGGAGGAGTGGGCGTTCCTAGGCAGGCTGTATTTGAATTGGTACCGCCCACATGTGATGCTGAGCCTCCATGGCTGACAGAACTGAAATCCAATGAGAAAGGGGCGGGGCCAGTGACAGTCTGGCGGGGGGGGGAGGACAGAGGTCAGATAGGAGACTGAAGGGAAGGACGGAGGTCAGATAGAAGACTGAAGGGGAGGACGGAGGTCAGATATAAGACTGAAGGGGAGGACGGAGGTCAGATAGAAGACTGAAGGGGAGGACGGAGGTCAGATAGAAGACTGAAGGGAAGGACGGAGGTCAGATAGAAGACTGAAGGGGAGGCCAGAGTGCTTTAAGTCTCACTCACCATGCTGCAAAAAAAACCAAATGGCAGGTCTTACATTCAGTCATAAAACCAAACTTCCCTTTTTGCTGTAACTTCTGTTTTGCGAGTTCCCTTTGCCTCCAGCAATACTGAAGACGTGCAACATCTGTAAGCAATAGCTGCTCAGTATGGATCGGGGGCGGGCAAACTCCGGCCCTCCAGCTGTGGTGATACTACAAATCCCATCATGCATCTGCCATGTTCCCCGGGACGATCTGCGTGTGAACACGGAGTGGACATGTACACGCTCCGTCATACATGTGATGGGAAAGGTCACTCGGGGTTATTTTTTTTTTCCCCACGGACAGATTTTAAGGTCGGGATCAAAATGTAACTACCCCACCTCCTCGTCCCAATCAGGCTGCGCGGAAACATTGGTGCTCAAATCAAGTCTCCCGTCTGCTCATGAACCAGAAGATAATGGAGGGAAGTCCTGGAACGTGGCAGCAAGTTATGACTAAGGCCTTTGAGGCTGAAACGTGTTGGCGTGATGGTCTTGTATATCCAGGAGCTGTAGGTTTGCAGTATACATACTCCCACCACCTTGCCCCAATCGGAAACACAGACACTGAGTCAATGTTCATGCCTGCCCAGGAACCAAAAGTTAAAGGAGAGAGATCAGGGGGCGTAACTAGAAATCACAGGGCCCCATAGCAAAATTTTGTATGGGGCCCCTGTGATTGCTCGTTATGCCCCTTGCAGAGCCGACCTGAGAGTGACCCTGCAGAGCCCACCATAGACTCTCTATAGTGGGCTCTGCAGGGTCTCAGATGGGCTGCACACCTTTACCTGTCAGCGCTGTCCGCCTCCGTGGTCGCCTGGGCCCCGCCTCCTCTTCCGTCCCCACCTCCTCTTCTCTTCACGACGAGGGGCAAGAAGGAGGAGGACGACGACGAGGGGCAAGAAGGAGGAGGACGACGACGAGGGGCAAGAAGGAGGACGACGACGAGGGGCAAGAAGGAGGACGACGAGGGGCAAGGAGGAGGACGACGAGGGGCAAGGAGGAGGACGACGACGACGAGGGGCAAGGAGGAGGAGGACGACGACGAGGGGCAAGAAGGAGGAGGACGACGACGAGGGGCAAGAAGGAGGACGACGACGAGGGGGAAGAAGGAGGACGACGACGAGGGGCAAGAAGGAGGAGGACGACGACGAGGGGCAAGAAGGAGGAGGACGACGACGAGGGGCAAGAAGGAGGAGGACGACGACGAGGGGCAAGAAGGAGGACGACGAGGGGCAAGAAGGAGGAGGACGACGACGAGGGGCAAGAAGGAGGAGGACGACGACGACGGGCAAGAAGGAGGACGACGACGAGGGGCAAGAAGGAGGACGACGACGAGGGGCAAGAAGGAGGACGACGACGAGGGACAAGAAGTAGAACGACGATGACTAGGGGCAAGGAGAGCATCGACGAGCGGTAAAAAGGAGAACGAGAAGAATGAGGAGTTTTCAGAAATGTCACCGTCCTGCTACAAGATTAACCTAAGTCATGTGATTATGGTATGGATTGTATGGAATGCATTTCTTCTACAGAAGGAGCCAATCAATATCTCCGGCCCCCCTCCATCGGCACATCGTTTCTCCGCCTTGTAGAACACCGACAGCTTTGAACAAACCAATAAATCAGAATAATTGGTTTCTGAACTCGTCAATTTCTTCATTTCAGTGATTAATTCCCCTACGGGGGTCAATAAAACCAAGCGGGCCGGAACCTTCCATCTGCCTCTCCGTCCGGTAATTGCAAGTCAATGACTCGGTGAAAGGCGCAGTCCATCTCATGGGCAAACAACTCCCGAACGCATGACGCAGAACGTCGTAAATACACCTCTCCCCGCGACGCTTCCACTGCGAGACAATAAAAGACGTGGAAATATGTGTCAGATTTTAATTTTGAAGAAACCTCTGGAGCGGGAACGGCTCCAAATTCTGGGAGGATGAGCTCACGCCGCAAGCATGTTACTGGCTAAAAATACGCCGTAAAGAGCCGCGGCGCAGCGTAACCGCAACACAAGCCGGAGAAATCGCTCCTCAAATACAAGAAGATCGCTCGATAGAATGAGGGAAGGCTGCACCTCCCAGCCAAGGGGGCACCAGGCCAAAAATAATAACCTGTTCAGTGCCGAATGTCCTGGAGGAGCAGGAGGGGTTAACGTAGAAATCCCTGGAGGCCCGCACCCAACGCGGCCACATTCCCGTCGCTGCAACTCAACCGGTTACTGTTGCAAAACTGTTTTTGTCTGTCTTTTGTTTGCGGCCATTGTGCGGAGAGGAGATCTGTTTATTTTATTACATCCGGCTGGATTGGGTTTCACTTGGCAAGAAAATCGCAGCCTAACCTCCACCTGAGACAAGGCGAGGAGGCCAGACTCTGACAATATCATTGTCCTTCTAGATCTCGCAGCTTTCTCTGACTGTTAAAGTGTAATTCCATCTTCACAACCAACGAAAAGAAGATCTTTGGCCGGCTAATGCTGATAAATGTCTCGGAGGAATGAGGGGAGGGAAGTCAGCGCAGCACCATGTCACCAGGACCCGTCAGAGTGTTCTCTGCAACTCGTCTGTCATGTGCCAATAAAACTACTTGTTCCCCTTTTCTCGGCGGGAAGAGAGCGAGAAGAGGGGGACGGGAGAGGGCGAGAAGAGGGGGACGGGAGAGGGCGAGAAGAGGGCGACGGAAGAGGGCGACGGAAGAGGGCGACGGGAGAGGGCGACGGGAGAGGGCGACGGAAGAGGGCGACGGGAAGAGGGCGAGAAGAGGGGACGGGAAGAGAGCGAGAAGAGGGGCCGGGAGAGAGCGAGAAGAGGGGCCGGGAGAGAGCGAGAAGAGGGGCCGGGAGAGAGCGAGAAGAGGGGCCGGGAGAGAGCGAGAAGAGGGGCCGGGAGAGAGCGAGAAGAGGGGCCGGGAGAGAGCGAGAAGAGGGGCCGGGAGAGAGCGAGAAGAGGGGCCGGGAGAGAGCGAGAAGAGGGGCCGGGAGAGAGCGAGAAGAGGGGCCGGGAGAGAGCGAGAAGAGGGGCCGGGAGAGAGCGAGAAGAGGGGCCGGGAGAGAGCGAGAAGAGGGGCCGGGAGAGAGCGAGAAGAGGGGCCGGGAGAGAGCGAGAAGAGGGGCCGGGAGAGAGCGAGAAGAGGGGCCGGGAGAGAGCGAGAAGAGGGGCCGGGAGAGAGCGAGAAGAGGGGCCGGGAGAGAGCGAGAAGAGGGGCCGGGAGAGAGCGAGAAGAGGGGCCGGGAGAGAGCGAGAAGAGGGGCCGGGAGAGAGCGAGAAGAGGGGCCGGGAGAGAGCGAGAAGAGGGGCCGGGAGAGAGCGAGAAGAGGGGCCGGGAGAGAGCGAGAAGAGGGGCCGGGAGAGAGCGAGAAGAGGGGCCGGGAGAGAGCGAGAAGAGGGGCCGGGAGAGAGCGAGAAGAGGGGCCGGGAGAGAGCGAGAAGAGGGGCCGGGAGAGAGCGAGAAGAGGGGCCGGGAGAGAGCGAGAAGAGGGGCCGGGAGAGAGCGAGAAGAGGGGCCGGGAGAGAGCGAGAAGAGGGGCCGGGAGAGAGCGAGAAGAGGGGCCGGGAGAGAGCGAGAAGAGGGGCCGGGAGAGAGCGAGAAGAGGGGCCGGGAGAGAGCGAGAAGAGGGGCCGGGAGAGAGCGAGAAGAGGGGCCGGGAGAGAGCGAGAAGAGGGGCCGGGAGAGAGCGAGAAGAGGGGCCGGGAGAGAGCGAGAAGAGGGGCCGGGAGAGAGCGAGAAGAGGGGCCGGGAGAGAGCGAGAAGAGGGGCCGGGAGAGAGCGAGAAGAGGGGCCGGGAGAGAGCGAGAAGAGGGGCCGGGAGAGAGCGAGAAGAGGGGCCGGGAGAGAGCGAGAAGAGGGGCCGGGAGAGAGCGAGAAGAGGGGCCGGGAGAGAGCGAGAAGAGGGGCCGGGAGAGAGCGAGAAGAGGGGCCGGGAGAGAGCGAGAAGAGGGGCCGGGAGAGAGCGAGAAGAGGGGCCGGGAGAGAGCGAGAAGAGGGGCCGGGAGAGAGCGAGAAGAGGGGCCGGGAGAGAGCGAGAAGAGGGGCCGGGAGAGAGCGAGAAGAGGGGCCGGGAGAGAGCGAGAAGAGGGGCCGGGAGAGAGCGAGAAGAGGGGCCGGGAGAGAGCGAGAAGAGGGGCCGGGAGAGAGCGAGAAGAGGGGCCGGGAGAGAGCGAGAAGAGGGGCCGGGAGA